CTGATAATACAAAAACGACAAGGTAAGAAAAAATTGATTTGGACCAGGTCATTGTGGATGGAGACGTAATTGAAGATGTACATATTTTGGTACTATAGTTAGTATTGATGGAAATATACACAAGGAAGTAAATAAAGCAGGAATATGTAACAATGCAGGTTTAGAAGAAAGTGCTTCGAAGCTAATTTCCTCGAAATATTTGATGTCCAATGGATGACAGTTAGTGTGACAAAACTTTCAATCAAAAGTATTTTTGACAATGGTAAAAGACCAAATTGATTATGTTTTCTGTTACAACTGTTAAACGTTTTGATGGACTATTAAAAAAGCTTTGAGAAGTAAGTTGATGGACCCTAGAAAATTTGAAAATCACAGTACATAACAGGGTGTTAATAAAAAACATGCGTTTAATTCATGAGACAAAATTGTTTACATAAGTAAAAGCATGGACTATTCTAGTTCTAATTTGAAAAAAAAATTATATATTTATATAAAAGCTGAAAGGAAAACACACAAAATGATTAAGGAAAAAGTTGATTTTCAACGACCGTGTGATAAATCTTTATCTTTAAACACATCACGCTTCACTTTAGTGCATTCTCATTTTTTATACATACATATATATATATACAGATATATATATATTCTTAATTTGGCCGTACTTAAATATATAGGTAGTTTCATGTTATTGCGAAACATTCAACAAATATTCTGTACATTTGTACACTACGCATCCAATATCGATTTGTAAGCGGGAAGCCCAGTAGCGCAGTCTCCAGGAAGGAGTTGTTTACCAGATTTAATATTGATTTTATTTTCGTACCATACATGTGAGGTGCAGGATCAGTATTTTTTATCTATCTTTAATTTTCTGTTGTTCTTCTTATCGTTGTATACAGCTGGATAGGCATTCGACAAACAAACAGTTCAATTTTTCTTTATTTTGTTAAATGTGAAATCTAATCTCGAAGTCTTCAAGCCAATTTTTCCATGGTACTGGCGATACAATATTAGTGTTGCAAACAAAATTATAGAGAAACAGAAACATAGACTGTTCACCGACGGAAAAAGCATTTGAGTAAGCAACATTTAATTGGACATTTTGCTACGTTCCCGTTAGGATGCTATTCTAACTGAAACTAAATTCTTATAATTTCGTCATTATCCTTTATGAGGTTGTTTGCGTTTGTTTTTCTCGATGCCATTTTAACAACGTGTCGAGTTGGGTTTTTCAAAAATAATAAGAAGGGTGTACAATTATACTTCAACGCAATTATAGAACCAAATCCCCAGCTTAGAAACTATGCTCACACCATAACAATGTGGGATATTTTCTTAAATTTAAACTTTAACATAACTCCGGTATCGTATTTTTATTTTGACGAAAGGTATATCTGATCACTTTAGCCGAAGGTGTTACTGTAAGTAACGAAATGCTAACGTAACATGATACACCTATTGCAAGACTGAGAATTCGTGAAATATTTAGAATGACTATTACCAATGTAAATTCGTCACGGATATCAAGCTAGCTTCCTGTACTTCAAAACGTATGTCTAGCTTATGAAATAACTCTTTTAATTCTATCGTATAAATATTTCACGAGATTTCCGCTGCTAAAAAAAATCTTCCTTCACCTTCATCATGAATTTAGGATGTGGGTGAATTTAAACTACAATATTTATTGCCATGAGTTTGGACAAAAATTAACTAAAATTCTTCAAAATGTCAGAATAAAAGGGTCATTATTATCTATTATTAATGTAGTTACAATTTTAATATCATTTCCAAATGGGAACTAGATAAAACTAATTTGCATGAAATCAGAGGTTCACATTAAATATTATTGTTTGTGTACACCAAAACGCATTATTAAAAAAATAGATACTTTAATAAATTATTTTGTAGTTGAAGAATGTATTTCGTGAAAATCGAAAGAACACAAAGTAGTAATATTAGTAATAGAGGTCAGAATAGAAAAAAAAAACTGCTGAAGGTTTAATATGATAAATTTTACTGAAACGTAAATATTTTCTTATAATTTCGAATTGTGAACAGAAATATATACTGTTAGTTCCGTAAGTTATATTTCAAGTCAAAAACTGTTAGGAACTTTGTGTAGCCTACAACTAATTACTATAGAAGAAGGACAAACAAATTACTGCCACTATATGATTAATCTTGGTATGAATATTTTTATCCGATGCTAGTACTGTCATCTGTGCATAGAGAACAATTTAAGACATTATAAGGGGGTGGGTGTTATATGAATTGTAATGACAATCTAGTTACTATTATGAATGAATCATAAAATCTAATGAGATATGTTTTAACTGTAATATGGAAAAATATTATAACAAAAACGAAAGTTGGAAATATAATATTCGAAATTATAATGATTTAAAACACTGAAAATGTTGAGAAGATCAAGTACTCACAATTATAACTCCTTTTAAAATAACAATCTAATTACTGATAGAAATTAGAGTGGATCAACATTCGCAATAGACTTTTTTTTGACACTATTTATGCCTTTTGCAAATGTTGATCTATTCTGATTTCTGTCAGGATTTAAATTGGTATGCCAAGTGATGCATAAGGCCTCCACAAGGTCTCACCAGTGCATTTTATGTTGGGCCTGTCTCCAGGTCAACTTTGCCTTGGATTTCAGTTTGTTTTTTATTGATCTTCTCCACGTTATTTTGGGTTTTCTTCATCTTCTCTTCCACTCGGGAGTCCAGAAAATAACTTATTTTGTGATGCTATTCCCCTTATCTTAGAACATGACCTATCCACGTCCATTTCCTTCTAGTGATCTCTACGACGATGTCCTCCTGTCTTTCTTCTCACTTCTTTGTCTAAGATATTTGTCCTTGTAGGCGATCGTGCTCTAAGAATTATCCTAAGACATTTGTGGATGACACACTTTTCTTCTTGGCAGTTTCTTTCGTTGTTCTCCAACTATGCTTTCCAGGTATGAAAACTAGCTAACGACTTCTGTTTCTTGCAGATTCACTTGTAGATCAGTCCTCTGGGAGTCACTGATTACTCTTGTTGTCTCTCTTTTATCTGGGAAATTGTGCTCGATATGAGACTGATGTTGTCATCATAGTTTAAGTTTTCTGGAAAGGTTGTAAGTGTCTGCCTGATGTCCGTGCATTTGTTCCTTGTGGACTCCCCCATGACCCAGTCGATGGCTATCAAGAACAGCAGTGCTAAGAGCCTACATCATTGTCTAATACTGGTACTGACAGTATATCAAAACGAGAGTCTTCTTCATATGTTACACTACAAGTGAAACCTTCGTACAGTACCCGTATAATTTCGATGATTTTAGCAGGAATACCAAAGGCTTTTTCAAAATCCACTAAATTAAAATATAATGAAGATTGCCATTCCAAAGTCTGTTCTACAATATTTATAACGCAAATACTTGATTATTACAAGATCGCCTCTTAGAAAACTGGCTTGCTCCATACGTAATTGCTAATACGCAGATCGCTGTATTCCTACTAAAATACATCGAGCAAAGACCTTAGACACTATGGGCAAAAAATGTAACGCCTCTTCAGTTGTTACAGTCCGTAATGCCCCCCTTCTTTGGAAGCTTGACTACTAATCCTATATGCCAATCTACTGGTACTGTCCCATCGTCACAGTTCGAGCAAACGATCTTTCGTATCTGTAGTAGCTTGAAACAGCTCTACTGGGATATCATCAAATCCTGTGGTCTTGTTGTTTTGTTTGAGCTTCTGGACTGACAGTTTGATTTCTGCTTCAGTAAACCTTCACGTGTGGATCTAAACTTCCAGTATGTCAGGTTTAAAATGTGGTGAATTATATAGGTCTCTTTTATTAAAGTGTTCTGCCCATTTCCTCAGTTTTTTCTCTACAATTGTAAATAAACTGCAATATTTTTCGTTTATATGAATTGAAAGTTGTTGCAGCTGTCCTCCCAATCTTTTGATAACTCATTACGTAGCGTGCTTAATAACAAATAAATTATGACATCTCATTCGTAACCCTAGACACCCTTAAAACTAGTTAGCGGAATTGACCCAAATGTAACATGTAGCTAAGTAAAGCAATGGGTCAAATGTCAAGGTCACAGTAAGAAGAGCATGCATATGTCCACCTGAATTGAATAATGTACATAGCGATTAGTTGAGTGTTTTATATGTGCCACATATACTGTCTTTGTTATTTTATGGCCTGTTAATTTACAGAGTTTGTTTATTGTTAGGCAAAAAGTTGCACAATGAGTTTCTTATTTGAGTTGTGTCTGATGTAGGAATCGAGCCCTAAATATTAGCTTTATAGCACTCAAGCTTATCAGTGAGCCACCTGAGGGCAATAATTTGGATAGGGGGAAACAGCCGACTATATGGTGTAATAATAAAAGTCTTTCATACAAGTTATGGTCTAAAACTAAAACTTAATTAAATAAGCTAGATATTCGTGGAGGAGGTAATTATATACATTTACTTAAGAAAAAAAAAAAGGCATAACCAAACTACTCTTAAATACCTTAAGACTAGGATACACGACCTGTTTAAACTACTTATTATTCAAGAAGAATCATAATAATCGGTTTAGCTCTTTTGACATCCCAAACATCAAACTGTTATTAAATCAAACTTCCCAATATTCCTTGAATACACATTTTCCCAGTTCAGTCAGTCTAAGGTGAACGATCTTTCTTCAATTTACAGACGGGCATTGAACGTTCCGGTTATGCCTTGTAATAACAATTACGTTGTTTACGTTTTCCGCTACCAGAGGCCACTAGATTACCATGTGTAAAATGGGGCCAATGCCCTCTCACTTGGGGTGACTGTCATCGAGAATTTGTTTGTAAACAATGTTTTCGTGTGTCTTTTTCGCAAGAAAACTAAACTGGAGTTCCTCAGATGACCCGCATATTTCGCCAATATTCCTAACGACTGCAATCGAAAACTGATTTTTAAAGTATAATTGTGTTTATTTTGTGTTTGCTTCAGATTTAGAAATAAAGAAGGACAGAAAGAAGAAGATTTTTGAGCAACTATCATTACCTGTTGTAGAAACTGATGCAAAAGCTTAACAATAAGGTCCATTTCGTGCATGACTTCTATAAAGTAAGTGTTGTTTATGTCCTTTTCAGAACTAAGAAATTGAGAAGCTTCTTCTTTACAGCAAGTGACTCAAAGTAACCACAATATTTAGATGCTATTGGTTTACTGGTTTTGTAGTAAAAAAATGTGTATTATTTTGTTAATTAAAAAATGTTTTTATTAGTGTACACTTACAACAATATCTAGATAACGTTTCACAGTTCGTATGCACTGATATGGTTATGTTGATGTATAAAACATTACATTAATAAACTTAAATCTATACGTGCAGACATTGTAGGTAAAGTGTAAAACAAACGTGTTCCATTATGCTGAATATACACACTCACACACGCATATTATAATCCTATTTCAATTGAAAATGAAAATAATTTTTGGGTGTGTAGACATAAATATCTCTGATTTTTTCCTTAGTTTTTTGTTTCCATAAGTTGGCCGCCTGCACATAATACGTTTAATTTTCGCCTCAGTTTGCGAACATCGTGTTTTTGGGCGGCAAGAGGTTTTCTTCATCTTTGAAAACTGATTATAGCTATTTCCCAAAACATTTGTTAGCGAGAAAATTCCAGTAAAATAATCTTGTTATATGTCAAATATGGCTTCGTATTACGTCGTACCGTTTGAGTTGACTGCACCACTGAAACTGGTTGCAAGACGTCATCGTTATTAAAACTAACTACTACATATGGGAAAAGAGACTGTGAGTTATGACAAGTATAAAATCGCTCATTGTTGTGACGTCACATGTGCATTGTTAAACACGACTCCCATAAAAAACTTTCTGTACGAAAGAAAGTAATTCAAATCTAGCCACGTTTTCTTTTTCTATTTTACACACACACACTTGATGACATAAAACAAGCATTTCTTGCTAGTCTTATTAAACAACAAATAACATACACGCTTTGAAGATGATCTGAGATCTATATAAATGTAATAGTGGTATATATTGGGTGTTGTATGTCCATGTAACTACTTCGCAGGGTGTGGATGGATCTTCACCAAATTTGGCATGAAGGTTTGTTGGGTCCATGCGAATTTGCATTTTGTGTTTTGCAGTTTTATGGTCGTTTTTTTTTACTAATTACATATATGGGTTTGTTTGTTTGTAATTAAG